CATCTCACGGATGGGGCAAAAAAAAGGAAGAAAAAAAGAAGAAGAAAAAAAAAAAAAAACTTCGTTGATTTCGCCTAGTCACGTACAAAACAGCGCAGAAAGAAATACAAGCGTAACTTCGTGGATCGTCAGTGTGTTGCAAGGTCCAAAGATCGCAAGGAATCTATCTATATGGGGGATTGACAGTCCCGTAAATCCGGAGTACCCAGGAGGGAGAGAGAAAATAACCCACTTGCTCAATTAGCAGCTCGTAAGGCTCGTAGCCTTGCACCCAAGCCATCCTCAACCTCGGCATCCACCTGCTTGGGCTCCTTAACCTCCTCCTTGGGTGCAGCATCCGCCTCGAGGTTCATGCGCATATCAACACCCGCATCATCTGCCAGTTGTTCCATAAGCCGATCAACGTCGGCCTCACCCTCTGCACCGTATTCCTGCATTGACACACCCTGTGCGACATCCTCGATCGCACTGCTAGCGATCTTGAAGTCCTCCGACCGGGCGAGGAAGTTGTTAGCGTGGGAGACGAGGTGTTCGAGGTTGACGCTTCGTGAGGCAGCGTCTAGGCCCCGTGATGCCATAGCGAGCGTGCGGGATGTGTCGCGGGTGCTTTGGGCGGCCTTGAGTTCGTTGATGATGACATCTGCACGTGCCGCTTCAGATTTGAGCGTCACTTGGCGTCGCTTCTCGCGCACGGCGGAGGCGGCGTGAATGCGAGCGATCTGGAACTCCCGGTTTTTCATCGCTTTATCGGCTTTCGCCTTCTCGGATTTGAAGGTCGCCTCTGCTCTGACGGCTTCTTTCTTGAGTCTGTTGGAGTGTAGCTGGGAAGATAAGATTAGCAATGGTTTCATGCACAGGTGGGTGATGCACGCCGTGAGGAGCGGAAGCACAGAGTGCGAGGAGGCAACTTACTTTGACATTTGTGCGGGCTTCGAAGATAGGGTCTTTGCGAGGCATGATGTCGGTTAGATAATAGAGAGGATGAGGGTTTGCAGGTGTTGTGTAAGGCAGATGGATTTGGGGCGTGGCAACGTCACTGACCGCATCCAGTGCATTCTTAGCGTCCCGAGGTTGGTTTATTTAGGTCAAGGCTAGATTTGACGAATATCGCAAATCTCTCTGCTCTTGAAATAGATTAAGGCTACGGTGGTGATTTACGGGAATTACGATGTACTGCACGTATACGATTCCGAAATACTTGCAAGATGAGCCAGTCGATTTTGCATTATAAAAAAACTAGTATACAGGCCAAAAAAAAGGACACTCAGCGCTGTTTGCCCATGAGCAAAGATGAAAGAGCTTTGCTCGCGCTGGAACTCCGGAAACTCCGTGTACCTCGATGCATCTTTCCATTACTACGTTGCCGACCGGATTTCATTGTGGTTCCCCGCTGGTGTCGTTTAGACAGGCTGAGACTATCGATTGCCCAGGCCATAGTTAATAACGACTCCCAACTCGGTCGAGCCTCCGAGGCGCCAGCCGACCAGGTCTGCGGGGAGAAAGTCTCACTAACCGCTAGCTGCAATGCTCTGCCCGTCGCATCTCGAAGTGGACGCGCCATGGCTGGGCTGCAAGCTAGTAGTCTGGTGAGAAGTCTCATCCGAAAGACCGGACGGTTGGACGCCTTCGAGGACGACAGACTCGGGGTCGAAATCAACCATAGAATCAAAGGGAAATGCTGATAGATCTCCTCCGTCGAGAACGTCAAAGGCAAACCCGTCTTCAGGGAAAGAAGGATTTGGCTCAGCGGGTGAATCACCGTGGAATAGGCGGCGGAAGTCATCGTCAGAAAGAGGAGCTGCAACATCATTTGCAGCCTGAGGTTCGTTGGAGAGGTCGAAGAGGGGTAGGGCGCTTCCAGATCCTTCGAGGCCAGCGACGGACACTGCAGGTCACACAACACCGCTGCAGGATGTTGTGTCACGTCGGAGGCCTCAGCCAGAGTGGAAGGCTTGAGGGTGGGGGAATAGTCGGTAACGGAGGGGGTGGGGAAAGGAATCCGCTCCATGGGAAGTTCGTCGCCTTCTTGTTTGAAGAGGGTAGGTGTGAGGGTAGGAGATTCGATTGCGGGAGAGCTGGCTTTTGGAGTTACGCTGCGAGATCCGCGGACCTCGGCGGAGAGCTTGGCCACTTGTTGGCTCAGGCGGTTGTTCTCTGTCTCCATCTGCGATAGACGCTGGATCAGGAACTGGTTTTGTTGTTCCATTCGGATCTTTTCGGTCTCGAGCTTCTCCATTTCGAGGCGCTTGCGCTCGCGTGATGTTTGAGCAGCAGCGCGGTTCCGGAGGACCCGTTCTATCCGACGCTGCTCCTTTTCATCATCTGTCTTGGCGCGTTTTCTATAAGAGTTAGCGGGGTTCGACGCTTAAAGAGCAGGTGGACAACATACCTGGGAGGGAGGTTTGTTTTGGGGGTTGGGAGTTCTTGTCCCCAAGACTTTCTCTTCTTTGTTGGCTTCTTCTCGTCCTCTTCCTCCTTAATATCCTCAGGCTCCGGAGAGTCTAATGATGTATCCGCGGGAGAAACTGTGTACATCTCTGGGGATGGTGAGGTTGGGAGGGTATCCAACGGGTTGATAGTATCCGCCATAGTGACAGGGTCAAATGGATAACCGGTGCCGGACGTGAATAATAATTGGAGTATAGACTTATAATGACTTGGGTGAAAAGAAAAAGTTCAAATCACAGAGGCCACGTTATCATCACGATCGGCACCGGAGACCAGACTCCGGAGAGGATTGAGTCAGAGGGTGAGTCAGCGAAGAGAGAGGAAGAATGGAAAGGACAGCTGTTCAACTGCAAACGGATGGGCGAGATGAGGTTTAAGTAGAGGCCAGCGTGGTCTGAAAGGGATGGGATGGGAACAAAGGGGAAACCTTGGAACCTGGGCACACACGTACGTCAGGTACAAGCTACACCATACATTTTACCATGTGCCACCAAGTACCTCAAAAGGGGGCTGAGTACCTGTAACGAGACAGGTAAATTACGTTAATTTCCCCCTGCATTCCGTGGTTCAGCCCTTGTCAACAGCCAATTATGATTTGCCGCTTGAAACATTGCCACGGAGCTCCGTATGGAGTACGGAGCACCCACATCCTTGATCACTCTCTTGTCTCTCTTGATTTCTATAATTGGGATATTGGCCCCCGATACTCCGTACACTTGCATTCGATTGCATCGCGAAGTAATATTTAACGAGTACATGCATATTCATTCAGCTTCTGATCTCTCGGGTAGTACAAGATACATCCAGTCACTCCGAGTTGATCTATCTGAATCATGATACATCTGTCGCACAATGCAAATGATCCGACATCACAGGGAGTCTCGAACAAGCTAGGGTGGACCCAGTCCTCATACGTTCTCCTCCTGAATCTGAAGACGCCATCAGGATCGCCCGGAGAATGCTCCATTTAAACGCCAATCACAAGTGCTTCGCTGTTCATGCCTGCCCCGCCCCGCTAATTCTCCGTGCCCCTGACTGTAACCATGTATACGTATGGACGAGTGGGCCAATGTGCCATCTAGATTGGCGGAAATCATCCTGGGGACACGACGGAACCACCTCGAACACGGCAGAATGTCGAGGCTGAAACGGGCGTAGAACGTATATATTGCCCCTCCGTTACTATTTAGGGTTGACCTCGGGAGTTTATAGGGTCACTCCTACCACGTGCTGGGTACGGACCATTGGTGAGTTTCGGTGAAAAGATAACGATATAAATGTCTACCTCAATTCAAACTATATTCAGTGATCGGTATTGTCATCCCATTTTGGAAACCTTCGACACCAGGGGAATTATATGCAGTCCCTTAAACAAAAGAGAAAAAAAGAAACGCCATCCCATAGAAACGTGCTCATGACAATATCGTAAGCGAAAATGTGCGGGGCTAGGACCTCATCTACATGGTGACATCCATCGTGTCGTCGCCAGCATCGAGAGCATTCTGGACCTCCGGGTCGGGGACCACCACACCACGTCCTCGGCCAGCAAGCAGTTCGCGTCGCACTTCAGGCCCAATGTCCTTGTGTCCACGGACGAGAAGCAAATCTAGAAGTGCTTCGCGCTGGTCCTCAGTGATGTCGTTACGATAACGCTGGGCAAAGACCAGAAGGGACTGGTGCCAGAGAACTGGCAGCTTGTATCCCTTGGAACCGAGCCCCGAGGGTCCGTCGTTCATGGCATCTTCCGAGGGATCGACGGCACGGAAGCGCATGAAGTGGAATACCAGGGCGTCAATAACCTTGTATGGCAGGGCGTACTTCTTCTCTAGGAAGACACGGATGAACATGTTGACAGCACCGGTGCTTTCCAGGGAAGTCAATGACTGTTCCGCGGCCAGATCACACATGCGGAGCAGGGCGGCTGCGGAGTGCAGCACTGGAACGGAGACGCGGGCAATCACAGAAGAGACAATGTGGGCTTCACGCAGGGTGCAGGTGCCGGTGGACACGAGCGGGAACAGAAGTCCCTTGAAGAAGCATGCGGGCTTGTACAGGGCCTTGCGCAGCGCGTTATAGGTGTGGACGTTCAACTTTTTGGTTTCGTGGATTTCCTCGCGCACGCGCTCCAAAAGCACAGTGTTGATGAACTCCTGGGCAACTGCAGGCTTGGATGAAATGAAAATACGGGTTACAGCGTAGACGGCGTTGCCGGTCCATGACTCAGGTCGAGTGATATCCAGAAGGGTCTGCCAGTTCGGCACAGAGGGAAGGATCTTGATGGGCTTGGGGAGCGGGCCAGACTTGTAGCGAGAAAGAATCATGCCGACCCTACAGCAAGTTAGCTTTGCCTCACAAGGAACTATCGCAAAACATACTTCTCATATACTTCCACGGCCTTGGCAGGAATCTGGACTGCATCCTCCGGGACACCACCACCTTGGATGTATTGACCGTAGGGGCCTTCGCCGGCCTGCTTCGCCTCGTGCTCGGCAATCTTCTCAAGAATCAAATCGGCAAGGTTGGTAGGGCCAGCGGAGCTGGGATCCTTGGGGTGGAATATAGGGTCCTCCTCGTGAGGCATGAATCTGTTGAACATATCTAGATCATTGGGATCGACCTCCTTGTAAAATGTTAGAAGCAACATCATTACCCAAGGTTCGGGAGTCTTACAACTTGCTCGACTTCATCATCAACCCAATCGTCGGCTTCAAACTTCCCCTCATCGTCTGAGAAAGGCTGCTCCTCATCCTCGAATCGGGTATCAAATTCAAATGCATTCGACTTGGGCCGTGCTGAGTTCTTAAGTTGCTCGGCGGCATCCTCGTCGGCCAATTCCTGTCCAATCTGTAGAATCTTGCGCGACATCTTTGCATCGACGAAACGCTGTCCATTTTCGCCATCCTCATCGTTTTCGTTGGCTTTCCCTTTGCCTTTCTTGCTGCTCTGTGTCCGAAGGTGCCCCGCGGAAGTAATATCTTCAGCGAGTGGGTTGTGTCTGCGTGCCACAGCAGCACCACGGGAGCTTGATACCTTTGGCATGGCTGGTAATTCTTCAGATAAACCGAAGAAACTGAAACGAGTATTTTGGACTGGCTTATCCAAGTACACGCTACAATCAAATTGTGTGGTCATATTTTTTTTTCTGCCAGGCGGTGCCCCCCAATCTCCTCACCGCCTGTACCCCACACCGCCTGAACCTCTTCACACATTTTCTGCAATAAATCATTTGACCGCCTTAGTTTCCCAAGGAGATTCTTGTCCAGCGCGCATGCGATTGACTGCTTTTCTGCACACATCAAGTTTGCTTACTATCAATGAATATAGGAGTCCTCAGCATACTATAAGAGCTCAATTGGTGAAGTTGCAGGCTGCCAATACTCTGGGTCTTTCGCGTATATACGCCGGAACAGCTTGACAGCATACAGACGAGCTTCAAATTGAGTAAGAACCTCTAACGAACCTCTAACTTTGCAGAAGCAAAATCCCGTGAGCTATGCTTATTGGACCATATCTTGCTCAAACTGCTGACTCTTTCCAGATTGACAGACTAATCGACCCACCACAACCCCAGCGGACAAACGAAGCCATCATGGCATCCGGCCAAGCCCCCGGGTCTTCCGCTCCGTCGTCCAACATCAACTCCCCGATCCTACCCCCGAATGGTGGTCCTCTGCTCAATTCGCAATTTACAGACTTGAATCCACGATCGTCTCCAGCTCCGTCCGCCCAAGGCGATGGTCGAGCCAAGCGCAACAAGCGAGATAGTCGCAAGAAGCGTGAAGCAAAAGGACTGGATGCCGAGAACGCACCACCCCCGAAAAAGCGAGCCACAGCTGCGCCCAGTACGGCCCTGCCCAGCTCTAAATTGAGCATTCTTCGTCCATTGCTGCTCGCCGAGCCGCACACCTCGGATCGGTACCCTCCACAACCTCGCCAACTGAATCGCGTGACCCGGAAGACGTCGGATGTTTTGGGCCAGAGCTGGGATTTCTACGAGGTTGTCGATAAACTCACCAACAAGAATGGATTCCGTTATAGCTATGCCATTGCAGACCCTGGATTCCCTCATATCAAGTATCGACAGACCGATGTTCGCCCCTACCATACCCGCTTCAGTTTCGAGGATTCACCGGCTGCCATATCGTTTTCAGAGAGCGCGACTGCGGTGACAACTAATGATGCGTGGCATACTGCGCGCGCCAATGTATGTGCTCGAGAGGGCACGTATTATTACGAAGCTCGCGTGATTAGTGGCATAGTCAATGATCCCCAGGCACCTCAGAACGGGAGATCAACAACTTCAACCCGTGGCCATGTCCGTATTGGATTCGCCCGGCGCGAGGCCGACCTCGATGTGAATGTTGGGGTGGATTGCTACGGGTACGGGATTCGAGACGTGAACGGCGAAGTCGTCAATCGCATGCGATGCGAGTTCTTCTTCCCCAAGGGGGAGGCCATCAACGAAGGCGATGTTATCGGCATGCTCATAACTCTTCCGCCTCTTTCTCTTCACAAGAAGATTGTCGAGGGCACTTACGATCCCGCCGATAATAGCCCACCACAGCCGGTAGCAACCAACGTCATCCGAGATCGGATTCCATTTCACTATAAATCCGATTTCTGTTGGCAGCAATCTAACGTCTTTTCTACGAAACACCTCCGTGACTACGCTTTCAATCTCAAGGAAACGCCGACGTTTGGTCCCCCGTCCCCTTTGAACAGCGAAGACGCCACGCTCCGCACACTCCCGGGATCTAGTATCACCATTTTCAAGAACGGAGTACAAATGGGCACCCCTTTCAAAGAACTCTACGCCTTCTTGCCGCCCGCAAGTCGTCTCGCCAATGGCACAAACAATCTTGGCATTGGCGAGCGTGAGAATGCCGACGACGGCTTGATCGGTTATTATCCTGCTGTGAGTTGCTACGGCGGCGGTGCCGTCGAATGCCGATTTGAGGGTCCATGGTGGGTTGGGCCACCCGAGAAGACTGAAACTGGAGAGCCAGTCCGGGCCATGGGCGAACGCTTCAATGATCAGATCGCCGAAGACGTGCTGGCCGATATTGTGGACGAGGTAGAAGCCATGTTTACATGGGGCGGCATTGATGGCGATGTCATCAATAACAACACCGAGCTCGACGGAGCCGGGGTTGTTGGAGGGGCCGAGGTGTTGAAGGGTGGTGTCGGCGCGGCGCTGGACTCTACGCTTGCCCATACTCCTGGAACTGCCGGGGCATCTGATTCCGCTGCTAATAGCAACCGTGAGACACCCGCTGCAGGCGATGTTGGGAACCACAGCCTTGAAGATGCGATGAGCGTCGGGACAGCTGGCACTCCCAACGTTCAAGTGCAGGATGACGGCGACATCGAGATGACTTAGTGACATACTCAATGGGAAATGAAGTAGGCGTTTGGCTTTCGCAATAGCATTGATACCAATTTACCAATTCTGATTTCAAAATCTATTCACATAATATACATTTCATATAGTAGTCGTACAGGTATCGGCCTAATCCAAATTCCTTCCCTCCAACATCTCTCCTACTTTCATGACCAACTGATCGTCTCCATATTGACCGATGACCTGGATTCCTGCCAGTTCAGCATCTTGCTGCCCAGACACTGTCACCGGGACTGAAATTGCAGGTAAACCAGCCAGACTGGCGGGAACGGTGAACACGTCGGTGACATATGCGTCGAGTGGTGATTTCTTGATAGATTCGCTCATCAGGTCCGACAGTCGTGGCGGGGATGAAGGAGCAGTAGGACAGATTATGACATCTACGTCGTTTTCCATTGCAATTTTGTCTGCGCCCTGCGCAGCGAGCGGATGCTTGGCTGTAAAGACAGCATCGAAATCTTGCTGGACTAGACGACGGACCCGTTGTGCTTGGATGAAATAGTTGTCAATGGCATCGGCACTCAAAGTGAATGTGCCTAGCAAAATTCGTCTCTTCACTTCTTGCCCGAATCCCTTTCCTCGGGTGTTAGAGAATAGATATCCATCAGGCTTGCCGTCGCCATCTGGGCCTTCGGCGCGAGTCCCGTACCGTACTCCATCGTACTTGGCCAGGTTTGAAGATGCCTCAGCAGGGCCCACGACATAATAGGTAGATAATGCGTGTTTTGTGTCGGGCAGAGAGACGGAATGGACGGTGTGTCCTTGTTTCTTCAGGTGTGCTAGAGCAAGAGCCCAGGCCCGCCGGACTGAGGGGGTCAGCTCGGAAACGTTGTACTCTATTGGCACGCCGATTCGGAGAGGGGCTGAAGTCAGCCGCGAGGCAAGCTGTGGTGTTCGGAGAGAGGCTTGGATTCGAGATCGGGAGGATATTGAGAGGCTGGTAGGGTCGCGCTGGTCATGTTGGTTGAGGATGTCTAAGCACGCTATTAGCACAGTCGTTTTCCTGTCACACTGGTCAGAACCCACGGAAGATATCTCGCACATTGGCGGTCGTTTTCCCCATTATACCCACGGTATCTAGAGAATTAGCGTACGCAACCACTCCCCATCGTGAGATCAGTCCGTAGGACGGTTTGAATCCCACTATCCCGGTGTAAGCAGCTGGAAGTCTGACCGAGCCTCCAGTGTCCGTTCCTAGAGAGCTGCAAAAGTCAGTATTCAGTCTCCTTGCTGAAGATTGGCCACTTACGCATAGCATTGGTCGGCGGCCACTGAGGCGGCACTTCCACCAGAGCTGCCACCGGCCGAGAGGTCTTCCCCGCTGGAATCTTGACGAGGGTTCTTGACAGGACCAAAATATGAATTGGTCGAATTTGATCCCATTCCAAACTCATCCAAATTTGTCTTTCCAGCGACAATGGCCCCAGCGGCCTCTAGTTGATCGACGACAGTGGCATTGAACGGGCTCGTAAATTTATCCAGGATTCCCGAAGCGCAGGTCGTCGGAATTTCGCGTGTGCAGATATTGTCCTTGATGGAGATTAATCGGCCGTCCACTGCGGACTTGGTTCTCCCTGATCATACCGGTTAATTCTGAAGTAGAGAGTGGAAGTCCGATGTTACTACCTTCTTCCTTGCGCACATCTGCTTCCTTTACGCGGTCCAGCCATGGCCCTGCGCGCGACAGCGGGGTTATGAAGGCATTGAAACCATGTGCATATTGATTAGCGACACATCTCTCAGCTTCTCGTAATAAGGACATTTAGACGCGTGTGAGAGAAGTACAATATAGAAAGGGAGTGGGAACGCAAGTTTCCCGGGCCCGTGCTGCGGTAACTACATATGTATCTGCTCAGGTCTCTGCCACCGTTGAAGATATATATCTACATATGTACATACGTAGGTATATATTATAGACTCCATAGCCCAGTTAGAAACAAAATATAAAACCCAATATCAAACCATTCTCAGTGACCTCGGAGCCACAGTCAGCAGCTCCTTCGGGCCGAGCGAAATCGACTAAGACGTCATCCGGATTTGCCAACTTTCTCTCCTCCACTCCATTACATTCCACTATGTTCTCGCGAAGTGTACTACAGACGGCCACCCGAAGTGCTCGCCCGGCCTCATCTAGAGCCGTACCACAGGTGCTCGGTAAAGCTCCATTCGGTCGGCGATACGTTTCGGTGTATGGCTACACACAGGCAAAGGCTGTCATCTACTCCAAGTATGGCGAGCCTAAAGATGTCTTGCGGTAAGTCCCCCCAGCTGCAATTGAGCGAACAAAACTGATCAATTTAGCCTACACAAGCACTCAATCTCCGCGCCGCACGCAACCCAAGTGAATCTGCGCCTGTTGACCGCGCCGATGAACCCAGCCGACGTGAACCAGATCCAGGGTGTCTACCCCAGCAAACCTCCCTTCCAAACAGAGCTTGGAAATGCGGAGCCCGCTGCAGTCGGCGGAAACGAGGGCGCATTCGAGGTGCTATCAACCGGTGCGGGCGTCAAGAACCTTAGCAAAGGCGACTGGGTTATTATGAAGCGCACAGGCCTGGGTACCTGGCGTACCCACGCGCAGCTGGACGAATCCCAGTTGATCAAGATTGAGAATAAGGAGGGCCTGACCCCGCTGCAGGTTGGCACTGTCAGCGTCAACCCCGTCACTGCATACCGCATGCTCCGGGATTTCTGTGAATGGGATTGGATGCGTGCCGGCGAGGAATGGGTGATCCAGAACGGCGCCAACAGCGGTGTCGGGCGAGCAGCTATTCAGCTAGGCCGCGAGTGGGGAATCAAGACGCTCAATGTCATTCGTCAGCGCAAGACACCCGAAGATACCGAGGCTCTCAAGAAGGAGCTTCGGGATCTGGGAGCTACCGTTGTTATCACCGAGGAGGAGATGCTTAATGGCAACTTCCGGGATATGGTCCACGAGTTCACTCGTAAGGGCCGGGAGCCCATTCGTCTGGCCTTGAACTGCGTAGGCGGGAAGAATGCCACCGCTCTGGCAAAGACTTTGGCTCCTGATTCGCACATGGTGACCTACGGAGCCATGTCAAAGCAACCTGTTGCATTGCCCTCCGGCCTGCTGATCTTTAAGAACCTTGCATTTGACGGGTTCTGGGTCAGCAAGTGGGGTGACAAGAACCCTCAACTGAAGGAGAACACCATCAAGGACGTGCTTCAATTGACTCGCTCTGGAAAGTTCAAGGATATTCCCGTAGATGAGGTCAAGTGGAACTGGGAGACCGAGGGCCCGGAATTGGCAGAGAGTGTGCAGGGCACCTTGGGCGGCTTCCGCAGTGGAAAGGGCGTGTTCACCTTCAATGGTGGTGATTGAGCAACATGCATGTATCATAAAGCTAGGCTGTTCTTTCTAGAGATTTACTTCTTCGCGGTCGGGACCGTATAATATGGGTCTAGAAACTAGGAATGAATTGTAACCAAATGAACTGAGCTAGAAAGTATATCTATCAACACTCCCAGTTCTTCTTCACCCAGTTAAGAATCAGGTTTGTTAGAGTCATGTGTGGCATATACGCATCGCTTTCCTTCGCAATGTCGACATCGAGGCCAGCAAACTTGGCGGCCAGTATCAAATTTCTCTCTAAGAAATCTAGGTAGACTAGATCAACCGTCTTTGGTGTCTCGGATGCGTTGGCAGGTATGAGGGTTCGAATACAGTTCGGAACGCGGTAAAAGGAGATGGGTGAATGGATGGTATCGTCACCATCTGTGCCCGCATCATCTTTTGTCGTGTAGCCGGGCACGAGGTCCGGACCTGACATAGGGATTTGCTCGCCAGCTGAAGGCCAAGTTTGGGCAATCACGTCTTCCATATATGCAAATTGCTCGAGAGGGGCCAGAGTTGTCAATGAAGATTCGTCCGTAGATAAAATCTGAGGCTGCTCGTTCAAAACGTCGACAATAAGCTGTGCTTTGTCATATGGGACATCTTTCACATAGCGGAAGGTGCTGGTGAATGGAGATACGATAAAAGTCGAGTCTTGGGTAAAAGGCCCCTTGAAGACATCGAACCTCATAGCGCCCGTATTGACAATGGCTAGCCTAGGTATGTCTCCACGAGACTCATCCCTTAAGCCACCCAAAACTTGAGTTTCAAGCCAGGTGTAGATGCTGTTAGGGTCCGGATACTTGGCTCGCGACATCCATAAATCATGTGGAGCACATCCATGGATGTGGTCCAGACCAAGGTCGGACCTTGCTTCGGCGATCAATCGGGAGACATTTACGCCCCTTTCGGTTGGGAAGGTCTCTTGATCAAGACCCGTGTGGTGATAATAAGAAAGAACGTTGTTGTCAATGTATCTGCGCTTGAAGACGGGCCCAGCAGCAGACTGATGACTTGTCTTGCTCGCGAGGCCATCGATTGACATGAAGCCAACAGTTTCCATGAATCGACCGCTCGCTAGCCCAAAGGCTTTGGAATCAAACTGCGCATAGTCGCGCACGTGCTGGTGCCCACCAAAGAATTGGATTGGAGTATCCCAACGAATTCCCCGGATCTCCTTGAAGATCGCCCGGTATTCCGGCGAATGAACAGGCACATGGCCGATCACCAAAAACAGATCCACTTCTTTATCTCGAATGGCTTCTTGGAACCAATCCTCTTTGATAGTAGAAGATACTCTCTGGACCACAGTGTTGTTGTAATTTCCGTTGAAATCAAAGAGGAAGCCAAATGCTACTATGCGGATGCCTTGTTTCTTCGTAGTAAACTTCTTAAACCGTGGAGCCAGAGGCATGAGCTCTTTCGTGGTTGGGTGGATGATATCAATATTCGAAGCCAGATAGTTGCCTCGGAAATTAGGAACGGTGACGAGAAGCTCAGCCTCCGATGTGTTTTGTTTATATAGTTCGTGATTTCCAGACGTCAGCAGGTCGATGTGCTGTTGCCGGAGGATGTCTGAAAGGTAGATACCCTTAGGTTCGGACGAATCATATAGACCATTTCCTTCAACCCGGTCACCAGTATCTATAACGAGTAGATCTTGTCCTTGTGCTTCTGCCTTTTCCCGCATGCGTGTGGTAAACGATATATAGTCTCCCCAGTCTGCTGAGTAGGACGGTCTGCGATTGTTAGACAACTCAAAGCTTAGCAGGGTCCAAAGCCTACTCCTGTAAATGACCGGCCAGCCAGCCATGAGTATCGGTAGTATGGATGAAATTCAGTTGCCCGAATTCAAGGTCTCGTAGCGGAGCGGAGATGGGATCGGGTGCGGAGGGTTGAGCGGCGAGCGCCGACGGAAGTAGCCAGAGCAAGGACAACATCATTACCAACAATACACCCTTGGAAGAGTGTATAAAAGCATGAATTTACAGCAAGGAGAAAGTCAAGGAAGGACGTGAAAGACCCAAAGGGAAGCCACCTAGGTATAAAACCAAAAGTAGATAGCTCGCAAGAAGATATATGGAGTGTAAACAAGGCCTCGAGCTCTCTCCAATTCTTGTATGGTTACGGTCACAGTACCGGTGAGCTCTGACATCACGTGTTGCCCAACATCTTCGGATTTGCATCTCGAAGATTATTCGGACGGCGATAAGTTTTCCCTTGGGCATTCACTTTTATCTATAACGTTCTTCTATTCAATTGCTTTTGCGGTCCAATTTTGGTCTGCGATCTTTAATTGAATTCTTTTTTCCCTTTTTAGTTTTCCATCTTCTCAATTCGATCATATTTCCGCAATGGCAGCTCCCCGACTTTTCCGCCCAACAGCCCGTCTGTTTTCCTCGCGCCTTGCTTCCACTGCTCTGCGCTCGAATCTCCGCCAGTCTGCCTGTGCTCCTTCAATTCTGCGCCGCGGATATGCCACCGAGAACGGTACCAAGGAAGTCACTGTTCGCGATGCCTTGAACGAGGCCTTGGCGGAGGAGCTGGAAGCCAACCAGAAGACCTTCGTCCTCGGTGAGGAAGTTGCGCAGTACAACGGAGCGTGAGTGATCCTTGAGTTCCAGTTGAATCGAGACCGACGCTGAACTTCCACCTCTACAGATACAAGGTGACAAAGGGTCTGCTCGACCGCTTCGGTCCCAAGCGGGTTATCGATACTCCCATCACAGAGGCCGGCTTCTGTGGTCTCGCCGTTGGTTCTGCTCTCGCTGGTCTGCACCCTATTGTGAGTATTTCCGCAAATGACCGTCGGATCGCATTCTAATCGTCTTTACAATCTAGTGCGAGTTCATGACCTTCAACTTCGCCATGCAGGCCATCGATCAGATTATCAACTCCGCCGCTAAGACTCACTACATGTCCGGTGGTATCCAGCCTTGCAACATCACTTTCCGCGGTCCCAACGGTTTCGCCGCCGGTGTCGCCGCCCAGCACTCCCAGGACTACTCCGCCTGGTACGGCAGCATTCCCGGTTTGAAGGTCGTCTCCCCTTGGAGCTCTGAGGATGCCAAGGGTCTGCTGAAGGCTGCTATCCGTGATCCCAACCCCGTTGTTGTTCTGGAGAACGAGTAAGACCGCATTCACTCATTTTACTGGATTTCGCGTGAACTGACCAATGCTAGGCTCATGTACGGCCAGTCTTTCCCCATGAGCGAGGCTGCCCAGAAGAACGACTTCGTCGTTCCCATCGGAAAGGCCAAGATTGAGCGCCCCGGAAAGGACCTTACCATCGTCTCTGTGTCTCGCTGCGTCGGTCAGTCCTTGGCCGCCGCCGCCGAGCTCAAGCAGAAGTACGGCGTCGACGCTGAGGTTATCAACCTGCGCTCCATTAAGCCCCTCGATGTTGAGACCATCATTGCCTCCCTCAAGAAGACCGGCCGCCTCATGGTCGTTGAGTCTGGCTACCCCATGTTCGGTGTTGCGTCCGAGATCCTGGCTCTGTCCATGGAGTACGGCTTCGATTACCTGACCGCCCCTGCCGTCCGTGTCACCGGTGCTGAGGTTCCTACTCCTTACGCCGCTGGCCTTGAGGCCATGGCCTTCCCCCAGAATGACACCATTGTCAGCCAGGCCGCCAAGCTTCTGCGCTTGTAAGCCAATAAACGAGGACGAGTGAGGAGCTCGCAATAATATAGCTATGTGCCTAGTACCCTTTCATCTGTTCCATCTTATGTTGTTTTATTCTGCTTTTGTTATCCAATCGTTTTAGACAGTGTTTTGGAAAGCATGTACCATTACATCCAGATCAGGACCAGCGTAACTGTGCTTAAGCGGCTTAGAAGGAAATTCATTGCTGCCCAGTAATTTAAAAAAAGAATGGATAACCCATACCCTTCAACGCCGTTCTGTATGCATTTGATATCCCATATTCGATCCAATCCGCAAGTCATTGCCGGCATCACAATATCCATCAGACCTTTGGGGCAACACACCCAGCGAAACAGTCCGTTGGCCGGCGCGGATCATAATATCCTTCTGGGCCATATTCCTCGTCGGTTTCACTTTCCATATCACCATATCCACTCTTTTTGGCTCTCCTCACATGTGATGGATCATTGTCATGAGGTTTCGGGCCGTTATCTTCCTCGTCATCTCCTAGAACGTTCTTCTTGACTGGGGCTGTGGGAGCCACTGTTCCCTTGACAGCGGCGAATGAACTCTTGAAACCTCCTTTCTTGAAACCCGTGCTTCCTCCACTTGATACCACATTGTCCAGAGGAGTCTCGATGACTTTCAGACCGGCCTGCGCATCGGCTTTACGTTCTGCCCGGCGGTTCTTCTCGACGGCATTTGGATCACGTGTTAGCTGTTTGAGATCTTGCAAACGCTTTCTGTGCTGGTGATCATATGAGCCGATGTGTGCTTCGTATTCCGGGTGGCGCGAATAAGATTTATTGCAAAGGGTGCAGGTGAAGGAGCTGAGCGCAGACCGCGCTGACTCGGTCTATAAAGGTTAGCTTGGCGATAGCAGATATGGTAGGTCTGAAGGATTGAGTACCCTAGGGGCGGGATTTGTGAAACCACGCTATATTGATTAGCTGAGACATCAGATTTGTACCAAAAAAGAAGAGCATACCGGTGCCATTGTTCTTGAACTAGAACATATGTGAAGTTCCGTGAGAGAGCGTTTTAGTACGGCCGGGCGTTGCGACCATCTGCGTATTAATACCGGGTCTAACGTGATATGGATTCATGATCCTACACTATTTTAATCGTTAGCTATGCAGCTATATGGGTCCTGTTTCTGATACATGAGCAATGCTTGCATCTCTACACAATATCCAACCCTTTATAGTACATATTTAAAACAAGCCAACTGCTATATGTTGTAGTAACATACGATGTAACTATATAGAGTACTGAGTCACCTGACCCTGGATCCTGCAAGTGGGCAATCGTCATTCCAAGGTTCCCCGTAGAGGAAGTGA